GAGTTGTGAAAAGACTATAGTAATGAAGTGACCACATATTGCATTGAAGCTCATATTAGATAGACCCAAAACAGTAAAGTATCTGGTATACACACTCTAGAAAAAGAGAACAGTTTAAAGGGAAGGCTTAGGGCTTTGGGAGAGTAATGAAATCAATTCAACAAATCTCCAGGATACGTCTGGTTTTTACTTAGGTTTTGGTATACTGTTCTAGATTTCAATCGAGATAGATAGACAATAGTTTATATACCTAGCAGTATCAATTTTTTCATATAAATAAATATATATTTAGCATAATCCAATACTTAATGTCAACTAAATTTCAACAGACTCAAAAAACCACAACGCAGATGACATTCAAACGAAGGCAACATGAAGTAAGAACTTTTTTCCATTATAAAGGGGAACCCAGCATTTTTGCCAGTAAAAGGAGGTTGCAGCTTATAATCATTTCGCCCAATTATAAACCAATTCTCGAAATTCATAAACAGTAACACAAACAAAACAAAAAGCCTAATTCCTAGAAAAATTCCACAAGGGTGACTAGCAAACATCAAAATTGAAATAAGAGTTTATCTTATTACGCAGTCAATTTCAGATTTCTATCAGAAGAATACGATTTATAAATCTCTAACAAGAAGCAGCATATGGTTTTACTTGAAATATAGAACTCATGACTATTACTTTCTATTCAAACGAGGTCGCTTTCAGGTAATACGCATATCCAATAACAGCAGCTAATTATAAGAACTAATTGTCGCTTTTCCATCAACGAATGCGCAAAATAAATCTGACAAAGAGGAGGATTCATATCGTAGAAGAAGGAAGATTCGGGGAAGGTATTAGTACCGTTCCTAAAAATCATTTCTAAAAATTGAAGGAAAAAAGCGAAATAGAAAGATTATAGGAAGACAAAGAAAATGAAAAATGTTTGTTAAAAAAAAAAGACAAAGATAAATTTTGCAGGTATGTTTGCTTGATCCGCAAATCCGAAACAGGTAACCGAGTACCCATTCGACCCCGTAACATAGCAGTTAAGTTTTACAAAGCCCAATTATGAAAAAAGACAATTTTTGTGTTTTTTAAATTTAATTATTATTTTTAGGTCTGTCTCAAAATATAAATGGACCTTTTGTTATAACAAAAAGTTTAATTAAAATTATATCATATGCTTTATAATTCAACACTGACCTTGAGTTTCATGTACTACAAAAAATTAAAATATTTGAAACGGATTTAAATATTATATTTAGGTAATTATATTTTTAGAACTCTTTATACCCGCACATGCGTGCGGGCCAATCTCCTAGTAATTGGTGAAAAAGACGACAAATTTATAGTTTGGCCAGGTTCTTCAATATTTATAGAAAAGTTATCTATGAATCAGGCTTTCTAAGTGAAGGCGCTTCCGGAAAGTGATTCGACGAAATACTAACAGAGACATACGTCCCGCTCCTCATATGTGAATCGGGTTCTACCCATAGCTGTTCGGAATGCAGTCAAATGTCGCTTCGGATCGGTGGTTCCGGTATAACTGGGAGATAACCTGATTTTCTCGATATCCTTTAGAGGAGCATTGGTGATTGCCGATGTGAATGGAGTCTGCTGTTTTTGCTGAAGTATCTTATCCAGCTCGGGGCAGAAGTTACCGCCTTATGAACCCTGGTACTCATGTCGTCGAGTCGTTGATGAATAAGATTGAGGTCGGAGATCGTCGTCAGAGTTGTTCCGGTGGTATCCCTTGAGGAGCGGGCGGTAGAGGCTTCCACATGTTCCCTATGCAGTTCCTCCGTTGGTGTATTACCGAACAGATTATTGACCAATCTTGCGGCCTCCAGATTTCTCTGTTGACGGATCGGCTGGTGTTGAGGAGTGGTGAGATCGGCTCTCTCCTGAGTTGGCTGAGCTATGGTGTTTAGGAGCGGATCTAGTTCTTCACGATAAGCGACATGTTTGGCTCGGAGCATTTCAAACCGAGCATCCATTCTTTGCTGTAGTTGGCTCGATAACGTTCTGATTAGACTAGCCATATCGATGGGAGGTTGATGTGGCATATTGGTCTGATTCTGTGGTAACCCAACCCGGTAAACCGTACCGCGGCTGTGTCCTACTACATCCTCTAAGTTCGTTTCTATACTTAGCCATATTTTTAAACTTTTTCTTTACTCTTATTCTTTCTTATCAACACACAGCAGAATATAAAACAACTCATCTTATTCATTTAACTTTCATAAAACACTTAAACAGGATTCGGGGTTATCAAATACCAAAGCACAAGGTTCGCTAACGATTACAACTGATCATCTAGCAACCTAACGAACAAACACCAAAGCCTTAAGACAAAGCACAACGTCTTAAACATAAATAAAACCCAGTCCCGATCCATCCATATCCATCACTGCCGCCTGGTCTCGCCCCTTTACTGCTTAGTACCTACACACTCAAGAAGAGAGGCATAATTATTTCATAAATACTTAGTGAGTACGGTCATCCCGTAACACCTGGTCAGTACCAAACACGCAATCATACTTCCGGATTCAACATTCAACACAATCAATTCGCAATAGACATAACAATATCAAACAGCCATGATCATCTAACTTAACCAACCAAGTTCAATCCCTTTTTAAGACCCATGTCTACTTCAGTGAGAATCCCACATCCCCTAAGCTAGTACATGATCCGGATTACCCTGAGGTTAGCTAGACATCATCTATGCCACGGTAAACACCTTAATATATCATAACATGAGAATTTCTTATCAGTTCTAAACACATAACATGAAAATCACACAATCAACATGCAAACATTCAACCCTAGCAATCCTACGGTTCTAGACACCAACCACAGTCACACACTCACCTTAAACAAGGCTGGAAACAGATTGGTCAGAAGAAATCCCGATGAAATCCACACCAAAACGAAGATATCCGATCTCCTTAAGAAACTCTCGGCTGTCCGTACGATCCGATCCTTTTCCCCTCGGCTATCTCTCGATCCGTTCACCTTTCTCCGAACCAAACTCTGTTTACCCTCGAAAACCCCACAAAACAAGGCTATTAGCTCGAGGTTATCCGATGAAAACTCAACACTTAGGGAAATATCCGATCGCTTACCACTTTATCTCTGTGATGGTCGGATCTGCTCGGCGATAACCTGATCTCTCTCGGATGTCCTCAGGATAAACTGTTTTTCTTAGGGTTTTCTCTCGACTATTCTCTTTCTTTGCTTTATTGCTCTCGAATAAACACAACTCTCCCGAGAAAAGTCTCAAAATCCCTTATAAACTCGCAAAACCCTAGATAACCCGGACTTATCCGACGTTTTCCTGGTTCCAGTAGGTTTTATCCCGGTCCGATTCGATTCTCTCGGCTATTTCCTGTACCGGCTTGACCATTCCCTCGATAAACCACAAAATAGCCGACCAAACACTTGGCCCACGGCCCAAATCCCTTTCCACTCGGATAAACCGCCCTTTTCAGAGGTGTTTTCTATTTTTCACCTGGATATTCCTATTTCTCTCGGACAACTAGTCCAACCTCGGCTAATCCTCTATTTTTCTCGTAGGTTTCCCTTTCTCCCTCGGAGACAGTCCACTGACACTCGGACTAACCTCCCAGACTCTCAGATAAATCCCACTGCACTGGGATAAATCCCATTTCCCACGGACTGGACCCTGTTTCCCTCGGATATGGTCTGTCCGGCTCGGCTATCCAGCCAACCATCCGACTATTCCCTCGGTCATCACCCGACCATAGCCCGAACCACCATTTCCCAGCCAGTATCTGACCCTTGGCTCGATCATTCCTCGGACAACGCCCTGTCCAGCTCGATCATTCCGAATTCTCTCGGATACGGATGCTATAGATTCTCTCCGGTAGTGTTTTGTGCTGCAGTAGGATCTTCCCTTTCCAGATTTAGTCTCTTATTCCCAACAGACGGCGCCAAATGTAATAACTCAAATCTGATCTAAAGAAATAATAAGAATCAATGGGTTTAAAGAAAGATCTTAATTAGGAATTAGCCGGAGCTCGGTGAATATAAAGTGGTTTTAGGTCGACGGAATAAGACGTCGACCTAAAATATCAATGAAAGGAAACTCGAGAACTAAGAACAATAAATTGCTAGTTTGTCTAAGGTCTCGAGAGATGATTTTCGGATAGTTGAAAAAGTAGATGGCTTCTATATTTATAACTTGAATAAGTCGGTCTTCTCGAGATAATTTTTTCTATTGAAATAGGAAAACTTCCCTTTTAATAAGACTGATCTTCGGTCTTTTTTAAATCTTAATTAGATAAATAGAATATTTTTATTTATCTTGCTTACGTAAATATTAGTTTATATTAATTAATGTAGGATTTTTAAAAAGGATATAAAGCTCATATCTAACACAATTCGTTATTAAATTTTTTGCTTTTAAATGTTTTTTTTTTTTGGTTTAGTTGATCAATCAGATAGTTTAATAGTTTGCAATGTTTAACGGAAAAAAGAGACAAGTAAAGTAAAATGAAATAAAATTTTGGGAAATAAAGTTTCCTCATAATTGGTTTTGGACAATACTAATAAAAAATAAAATTTCGAAAACAAAACCTTATTTTCGATATTCACGTCATCAACGAGAAATCTCAAGAAATTAAATGCACCAATCAAGCTACAATGTCGATATTTTATGTTTATAGTATATATCAGACCCTTTAGATAAAAATCGTAGCGGTGGAGGAGAGACAATTGGTACTAGTATACTTGAATCTAGACAAGAAACAATACCATTTAAAAAATATTTCCATTTTTTATAATAAACTCCACAGATCTCCGTCTCCCATTCCGAGATGGAGAGATAATAATAACAACAACTGAGACCTAACATAAAAGCAAAAGAATCCGAAACTGTCACCGTTTTCCTTTCACTTCTATCTCTGCAAAATCTTTCATTTCTATCTTCTTCTTTTTCTTGGGATTCTAATTTCTCAGTCACAAAAAGAAAAAATAAACGGAGATTAATGGGTACTGGTTGGCGACGAGCATTTTGCACTACCGCCCCTAGAAACAGCGACGCAACGGCACCGGATCTCGACAAGCAACGCACCAGCTACACGCTCAGCCCCAGTCCTAGCCCAAGAAGCTGCGTCAAGTTAGCTTTTCTCTACGGAGGAGGTAATCCGTCAACTCCCCGACCAAGTTCTAGTCCTAGTCTGCGTTGTTGGACGACAGATGCCAAAATTCCCATGGCGGAGCAAATCCCGACACCAAGATCGACGTCAAAGAGCCCAAGACTCTCTTTTAAGGTCAGCTCGAGTCCTTCCTCTCCTCGGTCTCCGTTAAAGCTTTCTCTGTTCCGAAACAGCTTCAAATTCCGAGTAAGCAGCAGATGGAAAATGAATCACAAGATGGAGGAATCAAATCAAATATATGAAATATGTTTCTGATGATTAATTAATTTTTTGCAGAGTACTTGCGGGATATGTTTGAACAGCGTAAAAACAGGGCAAGGGACGGCAAAATATACGGCGGAGTGTTCACATGCGTTTCATTTCCCTTGTATCGCTGATTACGTCCATAAATACGGCAAGCTCGTTTGCCCTGTTTGTAATTCCCTCTGGAAAGACGCTTCTCTCCTTGCTCCTCATCGTAATGCAATTGAATTTCCCATGGAAGACGCCGTTTCCGTCGAGGAGAAACGCGTCGTCGTCATCCAATCTCCTCCTAGAGAGAAACCGAGGCCAAAGCAGCCACACTATTCAAGATTCTACGACGACGACGAACCTTTGCTTTCGCCTCGATTTGTCACCATACCTGAGGCCGGTGAGAATTGCGGAGGGGAAGATGACAATGACGTGGCTCAGTTCAAGGGATTCGTGGTTGATCCAAACCCGTCTTTTGCCGTCAAATCTCACGAGATTCCAGCCAAAGGTCAAGATTTTGGAAACGTACAGGTGAACTTGTTACATGAATCTGCTGTTGTCTCCGTTGGGTGTGGTTACGAGACACGTGCAGTGGCTCTGCGGGTGAAAGCGCCACAGCCTCTAGCTTCGAGAGGCGGAGTAGGGGGTAAAATTTTAGATCTGTCTCAACGTGCGCCAGTGGATCTGGTGGTTGTAGTTGACGTTGGTGGAATCATGAACGGTGGAAAACTCGAGATGGTCAGACGAGCCATGAGGCTTGTGATTTCCTCGCTTAGCTCGGCTGATCGACTCTCAATCGTCATTGCTGCGGCGCCTACTCCGAAGAGACTCCTACCGCTAAAGAGAATGACGGAGCATGGCAAACGCTCTGCTGGAGTCGTGGTCGATGGGCTTCTTTGTGGTCAAGGCTCTAACACAAGCGACGGTTTGAAAAAAGGAGCAAAAGTGCTTGAGGATCGCAGGGAGAAAAACCCAATCGCTGGTATCATACTCCTATCGGACGGTCAGAGACAATTGACTGGAGTCCACACAAATCAACGGTCCACAATAACGCAGCTGGGGTCAACACGCTTTGCTCACATTGAGATTCCTGTTACTGAATATGGCTTTGGAGAGCGCGGTGGGTGCAGCCATGCCCCTGCCGAAGAGTCTTTCGCGAAATGCATAGGAGGATTGCTTAGTGTGGTGGTTCAAGATCTTAGAATCCAAATTCGAGTTGGATCCGGATCTGGTCCTTGTGCAATCTCAGCCGTTTATTTATGAAATGGACGACCCACGTTGGTGAGCTCTGGTTCCGGATCAGTCCGGCTCGGGGACCTTTACGCCAGTGAGGAGAGAGAGCTATTAGTGGAACTTAGGATCCCATTAATGGCCACAATCGCCAACCAAGTTCTATCAGTTAGAGGTCTCTATAAGGATCCATTGACTCAAGAAGTTGTATACGGACGAGACCAATCACTCTGTGTTCCTCAAGCCGTAAGATCATCTTCTCCTAGCATCGAACGGTTGAGGAGTCTCTTCATAACGACACGGGCTGTTGCGGAGTCTCGGAGGCTGATTGACTACGGAGAATATACAAACGCACACCACTTGTTGACTTCAACGCGTACCTTGCTAGAGAAATCGAGAACGGACGAGGCGGCGGAGTACACCAAGGCCGTGGAGGCGGAGCTTGTTGAAGTTCAGTGGAGGAGGCATCAGTTGATGGAGTATCAGAGTCAGCACCAACATCATCATATTCAACCGCGAAGCGGGAGCGAGAGAGACACAACGACGATGTTGATGGACGAAAACGGTGAGCCGTTGACTCCTGCGTCAGCGTGGAGAGCGGCTGAGAAGCTGGCTAAGATGGCTATGATGAAGAAAAGCGACTTGCATGGTTTCGTAAATGCTAGATTTTAATTTTTTTTTTTCAAATTTAAAGAAATATATCTATACGATTAAAAGAGGAATCTATTTTTAAATTAATTTTTAGTTACTGTGTTATTTACAATATATGTCATTAAATTTCTATAGATTCATTAAAGATAATTTAGTCTTATCATTAAATTGTTAACAAATATATTAAATTAAATTAAATTATATTAATTTGTTAACAGATAATACCAATAAATTATGTCTGATATTACTAAAATTCAAATTAATTTAAATTTGAAATTATTTTAAAATCTTTCATAATATCTTAAAATAACTACCACATATATATGGTATGAATAACTAATATAATTATATATATTATATAATAAATTAAATATATATTATATTATAATCAATTTCTTCTCTATAGTATTAAAAGAAAAAAGTACTATTTTAAAATGTCTAAAAATTATTATGGTATTTACTAAATGTGACAATTTCAATGATGCATATATTCTCATTATTTTTTGGTTACATATATACATACTATAAAAAAAAAAGTATGTAAAAATTTAGTTGTTCTGGTTTGTTAATGATTTTTTTGTGAGAAATTATGGGTTTGCAGATTTGACAAACACAATTTTGTAGATTTTATGTGTTTTATAAATTTTAACGGGTTTTATAAATTTTAGCAAAAAATATAGTTTTCTAAAAAAATGCCGGTTTGACAAAAAATGTGCTTTTGTAGATTTATCAGAAACACATAATTTTTGAAATTTGGTCGTAAATCACAATTTTGCAGATTTTACGATTTTATGGGAAAATACGGGTTTGCGAAATGCGAATAACGCAATTTTACGGATTTTATGTGTTTTACAGGTTTTAGCGAGAAAATACGGGTTTGTGAGTTTGGCAGAAACATATGAGTTTAGAAATTTGGTCGTAAAATTCATAAAATTATGGAAAACACGGGTTTTTGTGGATTTGGCGAAAAATGTGATTTTGCGGATTTTACGAGGTTTACATGTTTTTGCGAGTTTTATAGGTTTTGATGGAAAATGTGGTTTTATAATTTTATTAAAAATGCATGTTTGCGGGTTTGGCGACAAAATGCAATTTTGCAAGTTTGACAAAAACTACTTAATTTTAGAAATTTAGCCATAGAATACGATTTTTTTTATGTTGGGGAAAAGTATAATTTTTGGTTTTGTTAAAAAATGTGGGTTTACAGTTTTGGCAGGAAAATACAGTTTAATAGAAAATGCTATTTTTACAGTTTATACCAGAATTGTCGATTTTGGTACAATAACATGATTTTACGATTTTGCGGGAAAATGCGACTTTTTATTTCGATAGAAAAAATGGTTTTGACAAAAAAAAACTTGATTTTGTGGTTTAAATTAAATGATATTTTTATCTGTTAATTTTTGAGATTCAAATGCTGCATCAAATCTCTATTTTTAGCATTTTAAATATCCAAATTTTGAGATATTATAGAATTTGTATTCAGATAAAATATTCATATACAGATTTAAAAATATTTAAAAGAACAATATTTAAAAGCATTTGCATCCAAATAAGTATCTCAAGGCAAAAACAAACAAAGTCTAAGAATCTTAATTACAAACAAATAAAATCTCTTTTGCATTATAAAACATAATATTTTAAAATGTTTATTACAAAATTTAACAAAAAATCCGCTAATCAAAATATCTAAACTATAAAAAGAGAATCATTCTTAATAAATGTTCAAAAGCTACCATGATATTTACAATATATGCCACTACATTTACCAGACAATTTCACTAATTCATTAAGGGTAATTTAGTCATATCATTAAATCACTAAAAATGCATTAAATTAAATTAAATTACATTAGTTTGTTAACAGATAATATCAATAAATTATATCTGACATTTAATAAAATTCAAATTAATTTAATTTCGAAATTATTGTAAAATCTTTCATAATATCTTAACATAATTACCACAAATATATATGGCATGAATAATTAATATAATTATATATATATTATATTATAAATTAAATATATATTATATCATAATCAACTTCTTCACTATACAATTGAAAAAAGCACTACTTTAAAATGCTTAAAAGCTAATATGATATTTATTAAATGTGACAAGTTATAGTCAAAGATGAATATGTTATTATTATTTTTTGGTTACATATATACATACTAATAAAAAAATATTACGTAAATAATTTTTTCGTGGTTTGTTAATTATTTTTTTGCCGGCAATTATGGGTTTGTAGATTTGAAAAACACAAATTTGTAGATTTTACGGGTTTTACAACTTTTAGCGGGTTTTATAAGTTTTAGCGGAAAATATACTTTTACGAAAAATACCGGTTTAATAAGAAATGTGTTTATGTAGATTTAGCAGAAACACATGATTTTAGAAATTTGGTTTTGCAGATTTTATGAGGTTTACGGAAAAACACGGATTTACGGAATGTGAATAACGCAATTTTGGGGATTTTATGAGTTTTGACAGGAAAATATAGTCATACGGAAGAATGCGGGTTTGTGGGTTTAGAAACTCGATTTTGCAGGTTTGGCAGAAACACATGAGTTTAGAAATTTGATCCTAGAACATGATTTTAAGGATTTTACAAATTTATGGAAAATATGGGTTTGTGGATTTGGCCAGAAACGTGATTTTGCGGATTTTATGAGGTTTACATGTTTTGGCGGGGTTTATAGGTTTTGATGGAAAACGTGGTTTTATCGATTTTATTGAAAATGCAGGTTTGTGGGTTTGATGAGAAACGTAATTTTGCAGGTTTAACAAAAACACGTAATTTTAGAAATTTGGCAATAGAATACGGTTTTATGGTGTTAGGGAAAACATAAATTTTGGCTTTGTTAAAATATGTGGGTTTACAATTTTGGAAGGAAAATACGGTTTGATGGAAAATGTTATTTTTACATTTTCTACGAGAATTCCTGATTTTGTTACAACAACATGATTTTACTAATTTTTGACTTTGTTAAAAAATGTGGGTTTACAGTTTTGGCAGAAAATACTGTTTGATGGAAAATGTTATTTTTACAGTTTCTATTGGAATTCCCGATTTTGGTACAACAACGTGATTTTAGTATTTTGAGGGAAAATGCGGTCTTTTATTTCGATCGAAAATTCTGATTTTATGATTTTGATAACAAAAAAACTTGATTTTATGGTTTAAATTAAAAATGTATTTTGGTCTTTTAATTTTAGAGATTCAAATGCTGCATCCAAACTCTATTTTTTTAGCATTTTAAATATTCAAATTTTGAGATATTATTGATTTCATATTCAGATATTTAATAAAATAGTATTTGAACATTTACATCCAAATAAGTAGGGGTGGGCATTTCGGTTTACTTATGGTTTCGGTACGGGTTCGGTACGGGTTCGGTTAGTTTGGTTATACTAAAATTCTAATTGAACTCAACCAAAATTAATTCGGTTTGGCTTCGGTTCGGTTTGATTTAAATATAGTTCAGTTTGGTTTGGTTTGATTTGTTTAATTTGGTTAATACTTAATAGTTTGCAAAACAAAACTTTGTGTAAATTTTAAACATAACGTCGAAATCAAAATAAAAATGTAAACTTTCTTAAACAACAAAACTCGTAAAACTCAAAAAAACTTCAACATAAAATAATATTTAACTAAAAAGAAAACTAAAACATTCAATTTCATCATATCATAGTATATATCTTGCCTCTGTAGCCTAAAAAAAGCCTGCAACAAATCAGTATCAACAAAAATTTAAACAAAACAAAAACTAGAAATTTAATAATTAATAATTAAGAAAACATATTGGTTTTCGGTTTGGTTTGATTTAAAACCGAACCGAACCGAACCATTCGGGTTGATAGAAATCTCAACCAAAATGTTTTGATATAAACTTTGGTTCGGTTTGATTCGGTTCGGGTTCGGTTGATTTGGATTAATTCACTTCGGTTGGATTTTTTTGCCTACCCATACAAATAAATATCTGGATGCAAAAACAAACAAAACCTAAGTAAATATTGAATCTTTAATTACAAATAAGAAAAATCTCTCTTGCATTATAAAGCATAATACTTTGAAAATATTTGTTACAAAATTTGACCGGAAATCCGCTAATCAAAATATCTTTTTTTTAGAAAATCAAGCCTAAATAATTGTAAGAACATAAAACAATAACGTAAAAATAGTTTATATAATCTAATAAAAAATTATGTTTGGGCCATAATTTTGGATTTAATAATATAAGCTGATTTTTCTTGATTAAAAGTTTAATATGAACCGATTTTTGGTGTGGCATAAAAATATTTTATAAAAATGCGCGGGTCCAAAATCTAGTAATGTTTTATTTAGAAAACAACAAAAGGATATGCGTAATACTCAATGTTGTAATAGCAGGCATCACATTACTTTTAGGGTAATTACCAAAAAAGGATAGATTGTATCATTTAAATTATATCACTTTACTAAGTGATTCTATTTTAAGTTACTTATTGGTAAATGAAACAAATATACATAATTTAACATCAGTTATGGAAGATGAGCCGTATATATTGGCGTTTGAAGCAAGAATGGTATATTATGTAAAAGATCCCAGCGAGGTGAATTGGAATATTGCAGTTCATTTTCAGCCTAGAAACGTATATGATATGGGTGGTACTGATCGTGAATCTGCGTGACAGGCCAACAGGTTGTGTCAGACTCTTGAAGTGAGTTTCTTAATCCTTAAGAGTTTGAAAATTTTGGATTTTGTAAGTTAGGCGATGAGCTGTTTTTTCATGGTTATGTTTTGATTCTTGTTTCGTACTTGTAACTGGATTTCATGATTGCAAATTTGGAATTTAGTTTTGAATACAACTACTTCTGAGTTCTGTTGATTTTTCTAGATACATCCACTTCTCAGTTCTGTTGATTTTCCCCATTTCTAATTGTGTTTTAGTTCCTCATCGATCAACCCCTTTTCTAATTGTGTTTTAATGTCATTTGTTTTCATTTTAACAGGTATACATTTTGTGGCGATTGCTTTGGTGAAGTCCATATTTATGAATTTTTTTGTTGGTAATTTCTAATATGTATCCCTTTTGCTAAACCAAACCTTGTGGATGTTGTTAGCTATTTTCAAGTACCTTTTTGAGAAAAATTCTAAAATCACCATGATTACTTCAATGCCGTTCTTTCAAACTTTTTGATGCTATTGCTGATGGGGATATGG